CTAAACGTCAATCATCTGATTTATTTAATATAACATTTGATTTAAATATAATTAGTAATAAAGCTTGTTCAACAACATCATGTTTAAATGAATTTCAATCTCATGCTGTTAATTTATTAACAAATTCAAATAAGACAATATTTCGAGTTTCTTATGAACTATTGAATTCAACACAAATCTATTGGTATTATTATCAATTACCACAACAAATACAATCGAGTAAGATTTTTTTATTTGACAAAAAAAAAAAATAAAGTGATATGATTTTAGATGCATCACTTGTATATATTGATCTTAATACAATATCATCTTTATTAGATACATTAATATTACTAGATAAAACTCAAAATCAATTATCTATTGAAAGTTCAACAAAAAATTTAATTAGTTAAATTGTTTATTATGTATTATTCAGATAAAGTAAAATATTGTTTATAAAAACAAAATTTCAATTTTATGAAATAAGGATTGTAATATATTATGTTGTATTATAAGATATTCAAAATAAAGTCGTTCTCAAAATTATTCAACTAGGTTTATTTTTAATTGTTGTTTACTGCCATCAAGGGTTGACGAAAATGGAAAAAATTGAAAATAAATCTAGTCGAATAGTTTTGCAAGTAACTGTATATCTAAATAGTGTTATTTTTTATAAATAAATTCAGCATGCATTTTTTTTTGCAGTGATTTATAGTTTGGTACTAAATTTCTACTAGACAAAAATCATAATTATAATTTTACTATTCATGATATAAATATGTAATGATTGTTAACAATTTAGATAATAAAAAGTCGATATAAGAGGCATGAAAAAATCGCCATACTATAAATGTGGAAGAATAGATCTCTATTCTCAACAATTCACATTTAATTATTCGAACGTTAAAATCTTTAGTAATTTTTCATTTGAAATTTTTTTTTGAAAAATATATTTCATCATATAAAAAAGAAGAATATTCGAAAAAAACTTGATCTTCTATAATTCTGTAAGCAATATCACAAACATTGACTTTTAGTTTGCTAAATTTTTTTATCCTTTACAGTGTAAGTATTTAGTCGAATTAATTACTTTGACAATCTTGCAAATCAGAGATGGATAAAATCGCATCGCGCCTAGGCGCTACGCACATCTCTCTTTTTCTTTGCTCTACCAATCAGTTTCTCAAACTCCACCGAATACCGGGATGCTCTAAGCATGCGCTCATCGAAGCTCAGACTAGTGTAGCGTAGGCGCGACTTTGTCCATCTCTGTTGCAAATACTCTCTTGTCTATTTCTTCGAAAGATCATAATCTAATAGTTAAGTACGAGTTGAATCAGTACAACCTGTTTGATAGATGATAATCCAAGTGAATAAGGATGTGGATGTATGTATATATGGTACGATTACGTTGAGGCAGTGTCACCATCAATTGCCTGTTGTTTATCATTAGACAAATATTTTAATAAGATTAGTAGAACACTTGGTAAAAAATAATTTTCATATTTTATTGTCTCTATCTTATCAACTATTGAATTATGCTTTTGTCTCTATTTCTTTTATAAGCGGAAATTCATACCCTTTTTTGCTGAATACTTCCAATAATTTTAAAATATGATTTTAATCAATATCATTAAGTATGTAAGAGTACATCATTGAATAGAAACTTCATCGACATTATTTATGTATTCATGAAAAATATACATTTCTTAGTAAAAAAATTGAAAAACGTAAATTAACAAATGAACAAAGACGTGAAAATAAAAGATCAAGTTCAAATTTATCTTTATCAGTTAAAAAACTTTTAATTAATTCAAAACGTTTTGATTTTGTTAAATTTAAAAGTATATCAATAATTACTTCAGCATCATTATATGATGAATTTAATTGATATAATAATGGTAATTCATGTAATAAATCTGTTGGAATATCAGTTTGAAAAATATTTTCTAAATTATTTAA